AGAAACTTTAATAGTAATAAATGTTTATGATATTTATGGAGAAGAATAAATTAAAGTGATCAAAAAATATAAAATAAATATTGGCCCATTTAAAAAAAAATCAAAATTCAAATTTAAGAATATGTCAATATATTATATATATAATTAATATTAATCGGCAAGCGGGAAAGATATCTGTGTTACATAATATTTCAAATATAATATTTCTTATATTTACAATAAATAATGGTCAATTTCGATTTTTAATCAAGTTTACATCAATCGAATCTTGATTAATTTTAATTGTAATTAAAATAATTATAAAAATAAACTAGAATTATTAGAACTGTTAATTTACATAATGTGTATCCTTTTTATTATTTTCTGATTTTGTTTGTTATATAACATAAAATGAAATTAATCATATCAGTTTCATCCTTTTCAATTTATAACATAATTAATAAAGTAAGGAAAATTAGGGCACGTGGATTAAATTTATTTGACAGAATCATATAATATGTTTGTCGATAATCGATAAAATTATTGAAGTTATTTAAAGGAACAAATATGCCATGGTGAAATTTACATAATGTAAACTGGAAATTTTTTATGATGCTCCTGTGCCATTGCCGTATCTGTCCCTGCTATTTAACAATCGTAGGCCTATTGAGAAACTCTTACCTTGAAAGGACATTACCTGCCGTTCATCGCTGGTATGCATTCCCATACCTTCACCATACCTTTATACCTCTTATGACTTACCGTCTTTCTCAATGAAATACGCATGCTTCTGAACGTCGCGCGATCACCATTTGCGTTATTTATGAATGATTTGAGAGGAAAAATAACATAATAATAATAATATATCACAAAATCTCTCTCTGTCTTTTATTAATAAGCAACTCATTTGATATCACGTTTTTTAATGTATGTAATGTTGTACATATGTTTAAAATAATTTTACATACATACAATAATATATTATATACTTGTATCGAACATAAGATTTTATAATATAAAATAAAATTCTATATTATAAAAAATATTCATGTAAATAATATAATTTTCTATGTAATTTTATATACGTGAGTAAATGATATTATTATATTAATATAATTATATAATACTTTTAAAATGATCGATACGTATACGTAGAATGTCTCACAACCACCGGATAATACTTTAATAGCATACTCTGCAAGTCAATTAGAATCGAAAATATTAATAAGAAAATGTCGAGGTCGCAATAATTTTTTGTTGTAAGCGAAGCAAAACCATTGACCAATAGTATTGCATAGAATTCACGCGCGTTCAGGCTCGTAACTATAAATCTGTCAACATAATCTAGAATGTTATCAACCTATGTACTATGTTGAATGTGTCGGATCTTTACTACAATGTCAGGATATTCCATTTTAACAGCCCGTACTTCACTCAAGATCATACAGCTTCTATTATCGTTTCTTCCGATAACTTCCGCAAATTTCTTTAACGGTAAAAAAACAGTAAAAACTTTGATACTCTAAAGGCCTTAAAAATCCGCCTGGACCAGTCTTTTGAAAAATAAGAAGTTCTGAGAAGGCAAAAAAAAAAGAAGATGTCTAAAGATTGTCGGAAAAAAAAAGATGCAAGCGTTACTGCGTGCTAAACTAATTATAAATATTGCCTGTATCATTTCCCTGTGAAAAATCGCTTCTCGAATAATTCAACCTTTTTTAAAATTCGATGCTCTCAGATGCTCTTGTTACATGCTTAAGGTATTTTAGCGAACAAATAGCGAGCAGCAAACTGGTTACCGACTGCATTAACGAGCCATCCCAAGCTTTAGTAATACTATCCATACTATTAATTATTCAAATTGAGCGGCGTACTTACATACTGCGCATACATACGGTTTCGTATAAATCAGTACGGCGATTACTTGCAGCGTTTATCGAATAGTACAGAGTACATTGGACTACGCCAGAGGCGGCAAATTATATTTGCAATCATATCCAAAAAGACTTCCCTCGAAGCTCGAAACGCTCTACCGCTGCGTGCGGTTTTGTTAGAGCCGAGTTAGTAATATATCATATAAGATTTAAATTAATATTCAATAAAGTGTGTAATTATGTTGCAGGATACAAATAGAATATTACTATTTACAATTATACACGGAGAGAACAGAATTTTTGCTGAAATATTTAAAAATTCGATTAGATACAAATAATTTTATTAGACCGTCAAAATGATTGCTTTGGACGTTTAAATTGATTAAAATATTAAATATTTTTACAATATTTTATATGCTTAAACTTATATAATTTTGACCCAACAAATTCATTTTCAAATTTGTAAATACGTCACTCTTCCCATGTAAAATATTGGAATTAAAGAAATATATCAATACTCGATTCCAAAGTAATTCTTAAAAATTAGAAAAAGAGTAAGTTGAATCGAGATTAAAATTAATCTACGTTGGTGGAATCGGACCATAAAATGTTACAATTTAATTTTATAATCTACAAAGTAGTAGCTTAGTATGCAGTAGTCATCATTGATGCATTAACGTGAATAATATAATAGTAAGCCTACTACTTACAAATCGTCGGAATGAATGGGAATCGTCATCGCTATTAATTTTAATACCGTTTTAATCTGCCTTTCCGTTCCGTGGGTGTATTAATTTCCCTGACAGAACAGAAGAGCATGAAACGAACGTGCCATTCGTCCGATACCACACTGTATAGCGCGCCGTCGGGAAGAACTGTCGTTATGTAAATAACGCACTTGATACGAAACATGCTCCTTGGACGAGTGCAGCCTAGGTGCGCACGCATCCGTAGTTTCGCCACGGAAGGTGAATCACCGTGACGAAAGTGCAGGGACCCCTCTTGGTGCGCGTATCTGCGGCAAGATGCCTCGATTCCATGCAGAACGGAAAAAAAACGGCGGCGAAGGATCGCGCCGGCAGTGTTTCTCAAACGTCCTCCCCGATCATTCGGCGCGCTATCAAACGTGACATTAAATGTCACCCGTTACACGCGAACTACAACTACCAATAAATTGTCATTTTCTCTTTGCAATTTTTTTTAAACTAGCACTCTATATCAGCGGGACGAGCGGGTCGATCGAAACGGCGATGTCCCTATTTCCATCTCGCCGCTCTTCGCTCGCGCTTTCTTCAGTTTCTTGAACTCTTCACCTCGACGAAAATAGAACAACCGTTTCGCCCGTTTTCGGAATCAAATTTGCTCCAATTTCGCATTCGCCCGAACGGGCGAACTTAATCCGATTACCGATATTTGCGAGATTAAAATGCCTGTCAAGCTGTCATGTATTTTTTACATCACCAGGTCGCTGTACGATCCTGCTGCCAGATCCTTATGAAAATTTCATTACGTACTTAATACGTATAGGAAACCTATATATCCCTTTTTTGTCGCCTCTCGATATCGTAAAGTATATGTGGAGGCACCACATACAAAGATATAGATGAGAGAATGGAAATTTTTTTGGAAATTTTTTATTGATTTAATAATACTTGATTTGTGTCGATTTTTACGTGTGATCATAAATCACACGTAATCCAAACCGAATGTTAATAATACTGGCATAACAATAATGTGCTTTTTTTTTATATTTTTGCAAACAAAGGTGAAGGTGAAGTGAAAAAGCTGTTATACGATGATCGCAAATGATTTTTATTGATGACATTTGATTATGGACGCTTGTGAGTGATCAATCGACATCCTACATGGATGTCGAAAGATCCACTGTTCTTGATAGGCGATATTCTTGATGCGCGTCTACGAGTGAGAGATGTTTGTTTCTCAATAATTACAATATCGACTACGATTAAATCGATAACTATTTACATATGTACAGTGGTCCGTGTATAACGCGATGGTGTAACAACGCGTGCGGTAAAATGCATCAACGCGCTAACCGCAACACGCGCAGCGAAACGCACAGCCGCAACCTCGTTCGGCTCCCCGAGCGTTGCTCTCATAGTTCGGCCAAGTATTTCGATATGGGTTTTCCGATATGGGTATCGGTCAGAAACGGCGTGCTGCCGTTGATCATTTTCGCAACTATTTCCCTTTAATTAAAGGTTAAGGTCACGTGGTCTCCGCTCTCTTATCTCGCTCTCTGCGGGGGAGGAAAATTAAAAGGAGAAATATAAATATTATCTGGAATGCTGGCTGCTAGTCGATCGAGATCACTTTTGCACTTTTGAATTTCGACGTGAACGCGAGTAGAACGGTGAGAAAGATGTACCGCCAAGATCTGTCGTCGGTGATGCACGTTGCGGAGGATCGATGATGCGCGTTAGGTTTAAAATCCTGCGTTTTATCCCGCCGGCAGTAGTACTCGTCGTCATTGGGCAGAACGTCCCTCACGATGTCGAGGAAGTCCTCGAAGGGACATATCTCCGCGCAGCCTGGGATCGTCTGTATCTTCAATTCTTTCGTAACCCCAGTCCACAGTAAAACCTGTGGAAAAAGACAGAAGTAGAAAGGTAAATCTATAATACTGATGTAAAATAGATAAATACAAATTACAAAAATAGAACAAAGCTTGAATTCTTTTTTTCGTAAATTATACTTTGCAGGAACTAGATTTGCTATCAATAGCTTTTCACTCAAAGAATAATAATAATAATAATAATAATAATAATAATAATTAATCTAGCCTATATTTCCTAAATTTATTTAAAACCTAACAATACGTAAAATATTATTCGCAGATCGTTATAAAAATTCTTTTCGTATCCGAAAAAATCTCTAGAATGATGATGAAGAAGACATGTAATAAAAATTGTACAAAAAATAAAACAAAGTCGATTTTTTTTTATGAATGAATTTTGAGGGAAGTAGATTTGCTGTCGATAGCTCTCTTCAATCAAATAATAATAATAATAATGATGATGATAAATCTAGCCTAAATTCTAGTAGATTTATTTAATGCTTGTATTATACCCGGATATAGTAAATTCCTTTCTTATCCCGAAGAGTCTCTAGAATGATCGTGGCGCCATAAGATGGTACCGTTGGTTCATTTGTTCCTAAAGTATAAGCGAGGGAAGCTACGTTGATTTCGTGGCCACCAAATAAAAAAGCTTTCCTGTCATGTGATAACTTTCCCTCTCGGAGTTCCTGAATGTCGTCCACCATTTTGCGAAGCAGCGTGCCTGTACACACGGATAACAATGACGATTAAAAATCAATGATAATTAAAAATATTCAATCGTTTCACTTTTGAATAATGAAATAGAAAGAAAAAATGCAATGATATTCCTAAAATAGATTATCAAATCTTGACAGCGTATTTCACTCGTCTTAAAAACGAAGAAAATCGTATGATCGTAAGTCGCATTGTTTCCGACTTACAAATGTTTTCCGTTTGTGGCGAAGTTTTACGAGAATACTTAACAAAATTTAGAGATCTGATTTTAAGATGAATATTACTCTTCCTTTAAGTTTTAAAGGAATTGTTGGAAATAACTTCTTTTCGCAGCGATGCGCAGCGCGCTTTGTATCGAGTTTTATAAACTCGAATATAGAGTAAATTTGTGCAGTTGCAGGATAAATAGTATACAATGATTGTTCACCCGATGTTCTTACTTATTACAGGAAATTAGTAAATGGAAATACATTTTTGTATATTCCATGTAAGATATATTCTCTAAAGAATTAGAGACTTCAAATTATTCTTTATATTTTTGATACTTATGATTTTCTTGCCAAATAACATTCTGACGCAGCCATTTTTAAAAAGATGTGCGATTTTCATTGTCGTATCATAAGATAATAATTTTATTCACATATTTTGATGATAAATAGAATAAATAGAATAAATAAAATTTTCTATTTTATTAGTTGATTTATTTTAAAGATGTTATATGCACCAACCTCCATTTAATCTCTTCAGGTTTTTCGTATATGATCGAAGTTTGAAGTCCAACTCTATTATATCTTTCATCGGATTCGGAAAAACATTTTGGGTCCACTTTGGTAGTGTCAAGTTTTGCGCAGCCTAGAAAAGATTGTATTGATGAAAATTTGATAAATATTTTCATTTATTATCCATCCTTACCTCTTCCTTTAGTAAATTGTACAAGTGACCAACTGCGTCCGTAGTGTTAATCAATTTACCAGTGTGGTCCGTTAAATAATCCATTACATTCTTATATTTATTAATCATCTCTTTCGTACTGTCTAACTGAAGGAACCGTTGATATTCTTCTCTATAACTGAAGACAAATAAAAAGTTGGAAATTCAGCTTCATAGATTAGAACATTATTAGAATTTTCTGTATATAAAACGCGCGCGTATATCAGAGAAACACGTTAAAGTGGTTAAATTTTTTTTTCTTCGAATCTTCTTTTTTTCAGATTTTGACGGTATCAAGACAAAATAGTTGAATACAAGATGAAAAGAAGACAAGACGGAGACGAGGCGAAGGTATCTCAAACGTCCGCATGAAGGAAACTTGGTGACTGAAGAGACTGAAGGAAAAAAAGAGAGTTCGAGAATTCGAGTCAATCCTGTTATCAGACTTTTAAGAAACCAATTCCCTAGAAAGTTGCTTACTGATAGCAGTAATGCGGAAACAAGAGGTTGTCAGTCTTGTACGGCACGAAGAACGTCCATGTCGGAATCCAGGGCAAGTGCGGATTCCAGGTTTGCCTCTCGGAGGGCGGGAATAATCCCGCCAGAACTAACTGGAGAGACAGCTGGGTCCGCGGGACGTCTGTAGATCGGGCATAGATCTTGGCCGGCCAATAATCCGGCCCGAAATATTGATCGTATCTCTCGCGCAGCATCGTTCCAATTTTATACTCTCGCATCTTGCCTTGCTAATTGCACGAGAAAGAGCATTTAATTGGACAGATTTCGGAGAACTGACTGTTAATGACGGAAAATTAAATAAATTTTCTTAGATCCAACTTTTTTTCTAAATTTTACTTGGAAACGAATAATCATCAACCTCGGCAAATTAATTTCTCATTACATTAGTAGTGAGTAAGTAAGTCTGAAGTATTTCCGAGATTTTGAAAATTAAGAGTAAACATTTATGTTGCATCTTTAAATGATATAATATTTTGGAAAACTGGATATTACAAAAAATTAAACCAATTTTCTTGGATCCAATTATTTTCTAAACTTTAGCTGAAATTAAAAACGAATAATTAACGAATAATAGCGTCAGAAAATTGATTTCTCATTTTACGGAAGTTTTTGAAACATTTTACGGGAGATTTTGAAAAGCGAAATGAAACATTTATATTTGCGTTGTATATTTGATTACATGACATATATGACATATATGAATGTTCTCAAAGAACAAAATTAGAGAAAGTTATTCGGTGGATTACATCTTAGAAGTCTAATAATTCTTTTTATTTATTTATTGAATTTATATCTACAAATTTAAAACAATCGTTTTATATGGATTAGTAATATATATATATATATATATATATATATAAATAATATTCTATTTTAATCGCTGTGATTTGTACTCACATTGGTCAAATCGCCGTTTCCCATTGGATAATAAGAGTGTTCGCGATGCGGATCATTAGGATAGTTTTGGAATTCTCGATGGGGCACTTTGTCACCATGGCGAAATACCTTTGAAATAAAATATACTTATGTAAGCTGTATTGTCATCATCCGTTATCATCACTGTCACCGCATAGACGATCGCGATAATGCAAATGTATTGTTACGTGTCTCTCGCACGAGGGATCGCTTTGCCGTAACTTCTTAATTTCTCTCGAAAACTTCTCTCGATATCGAACTCGCATCTGCGCGATCTAACAAAGCGGACGTATATTTGCCTCTAAGGGCACTGTAAAATAGTTTTAAAATAACATTCACGGCATTTTCGAAAAATCGAAACGGATATTAATTGATTGCTTTATCGTAAATTTATAAGAAAAGCATTCGAAAGCGATAATAATTTCTTATATCTATCGTCATTCAAACGATATTCAAAAAAAGTGATCCTCACTGATCTCACACACAAATATGTCACAAATACGAAAAATGAAATAAGGCTTTACCACGTGAAGCAGCTGCAGTTCCACATCGGAGGCAGCCAATACGGCGAGGCTGTTAAGAGATACGGCAAAAATCGTCAACTGCACCATCGGAAACATCCTCGCAATATCTTCGTGAAAACAGTTTTCGTTTGAACGAGCACTTTTGACGCTTAATTCAAGTGATCTGGACGACCGCCGCGTTCGGAATCAACGATTTCACGACACAATCTGCAGATGGTGTTTATATTTCTACTCTCGCCTCTCTTGGCCTCTCTGTGAGTGGGGGTGGGATAAGGAACAGTCGAACAAGATCGTAATTCCGACGATTTTATTAGCAGGTTCCCCGCTCTTGGCAAACGCCCGATCCTTTTTCCTGACGTTGATCGTCGCCTTCCACGAAGGACGCGTAAGCAAACAGCAGGAAATTCAGCAGAAAACCACAACTGGCAGTCGTTATCGTAGGGAATTCTCTCTCTGCCATTTTTAAACCTTTAACGATCACACTCCGCCATGCGATATCTTATTTGCAAATGTATTACGATCATTAATGCAAACGGTGAAGTGAGTGTTATCATCTTCAAAGACGTATTATATCAGTTTGGTAAATATAAAAGTAGTCTAATATGTTTGACAATATGACGATTTGACAATTTTTAATTTATTGAAACCGATGCATGTGTAAAGATTAACGTTTTATTCTTTCTCTCTCTCTCTCTCTCTCTCTCAAATGTGATGAATTTTTATCATGGTGGAAACTTTAGTTTTAAATAATTTTTTATTAATCTGTTTGTCTCATTTTTTTAAATAAGAAAGCTTTTTCTAAAATGTTTATATTAAATATTTTGTTGAAAATATTGTTGATAATAACTAATGCTTATCGGTAAAAGAAAAATGTGAAAAAATATTGATAATGTTGTAAATGTTTTCGTTACGCAAAAATTAACACAGCTATAAATATCTATTTGGTATTATTTTCTTGTCTCCATTTTTCCTTACATTTTTTTCTACATTTTCTACATTTTTTTCTACATTTTTTTTTAACGTGCATGTGCAGCTGAATACTGAATAACAAAGCTATGACGTATTTATTTTATCCAGAATTACTTTGTATTTATTTCTTTGCGTTTATCTGCGTTACTTTGCTGATTTGCTGATTTCTTTTTTCCTAAAACTGGAAAATGATTCTTTGTGCATTCATGGACATGTTGAATTTACGAGTCTCGCAAATGCCTGATCGTTCGCATAGATTTATCTCCATGTACGTAAATAACAAAACGGATCTATGGAGATTTACCATAAAAAACGGTAGCTGATTCACGAATCTTTGAAGTTTTTCTTTGATTCGAGAAATTCTTACCACAATTCTTCATTTTGATATGATCACAAAGTGTTTCGCCAGTTTTTTAATAATTAAAATTTAATTTGATTAATATTAACAATTATTATATTAAATTAGTATTATATTAAGTACAGTAGTTATAAAATAATCTTTCAATTTTAAATTGAAAGCATAATTTTAATTACACATTTGTATTTATGGATTATTTAATTTTGGATTAATATTTTAAGAATTTGTATTACACATGATTTTATTCCATGCTTTTAAAAGCTCTGTCATATATTTGGAATTTACAATCTGTGAACAATCTTTGATGTAATTTTTTTATAAGAATTTAAGTTAAATGATATTCAATTATTATCTTAAATGAAAGATTATTCATTTTCATCAATTTTATGAAGATTTCTTTAAGGTGGAAGAAAAAGAGATAATTTAAATTTGATAATTTGATCGTTTAAATTAACTATTGATAATGATGTTGATAATTTATAAATATATTCTCATATCTTGTTATAAAACGTAAGGCATGTCACAAAATACTTTTCTTAAATTTAAGTCAGATCCCAGATATTTTTATATCGGACATATCGACATATTAAATTGATATTGATATGTCGTGCCAGGTACAGACGTGCGTCGAATCGATTAGGTCGAATATATACCACATTGTGGAAGTCCCAAGGATATCCAGTCGATTCAACTTTTGAGAACAAGACGATGCTTATTTTGACATTCACCGTGCTACGGAGTTTAATGAATGCTGCCACGATCGGAATTCGGAATATCAATGAACTATTTCACTTATTTTTAGTCTTTTTGAAATCTTTTTGAAATCCCGAGATATTGTGCAATTATGTTTCCTTGATCCATACTTTTTCCATTCGTTTCATTCAAAAATTCCATTTTTTTCATCAATGCTACCCCATCATGTTACCCCCAAGGAATTCATCGGAATTCGGGGATGTCCTCACGTAATGATGTGGTCGGAACAAAATGAAGCGAATATAGAGACATTGCGACATTATGTCCTTCCCGCATTTGTGGTGCATTTTGCGGAATTATCATGCGCTCGTGTCTTACTCACCGCACGCGGTGAATTTTCCTCCCGCGAGTTGAATTCACGGAAATCGGGGAAATGTAAGAGAGGCTTTCCTGGCAGGAATGAAGTTCACAGGCGTAATCGAAGGGCCATTTCTGACACCGTGGTTTTTGCGCTCGCGCGACAGAATTGATGGATCATACTTTTACAGAAACGATTAAAAAAGCGTCGACGTAAATAATAGAACAGTCGTTTACGTAACGTGTATGAAAAAAGGTGAATCGCGATCGCGTGCATGTTTCATGTGCATTAGGGATTACGCGTCTAAAATTCACTTTAAACAATCAGATTCAAATATTGAGACAATAGTTTTGAACAGGTGGAATATATAATTTTACACGCGCATATATATTCTTATATATTTTACATTCTTATTATATTTTATATGTAATGTGTGCATTTCAGCTTGTCAAATATTTTTTTTTTTTTTGTATTGCATACAGGTTTATAAATGGAATTCCATTTTGAAATCTGACGCAAGTGAGTAAAGTCGTCTAAACGCGATCTTGAAATTATCGAACAGTAAAATATCAGCGTTTCTGGAATAATTGTTTTACGTAACGCCTACAAAAAGATGCATCACGATCGCGCACGTATTTTATACCGGGAAGACTGCAAACCGCAATCTTCCGTTGCGAATGGGGAAACATTAAAAATTCTAATCACTTCATCGTGCATCATTGACATTTATCGTTATCAAATATAATTAATTTTATTTTAACCAATGACATTGGAATTACACAATTGATTCCAGTGAGTTCTTTTCTATTATTGAATAGCGCATGTATAATTATGCAATCGCGATGGGCTCGACGGTCGCAATTATGTGCAATCAATAACTAGATCAGTCGAGAAAGAGCCCGTTAAATGATTATGCTGCATATAATTAGACTGATTATACTGATTCCGCAACCTATACACCCACGTACAAAAAACTTTTTTTAATTTTATTACAAAGTCCAGGAAAAATTTTCCGACGTATCAAAGTATCTTAAGCATATTCTCTCTGTTACAGTTTCTATATCATAAATAGAGTTTTCTTTCTCTTTTCTTCTTCCTTCATTTTCCTTCCGTCTCTCTCTCTCTCTCCTTTCTCTCTCTCTCTCTCTCTCT